CTTTGTGTTCATGTGGTAGTGCCTATGTTGGAGAGACATGTAGCCCATACCGAGTTTGGTTGTTGGGACTAGCAAAACTCACTGATGATGCCGATTACGATGCTGGCGAAACGACTGGGAATGTGCCAAGTCCACGGTCCGACTCTGGAAATGATCATGCATACTATGGACTCCAGACAAGAAGCGTTCGTCTAGGCCTTCCTGCTAATATGACCAAGTTGCGAAACCAAGGTTAAGCAACTTCTATACAACGAAAGGAGACCGTGACCATACAAAAGTCCACACCATCCTGATCTTCATATCATGCATAAGAGGTTACCCGAACACAAAAAAGCCTGCAAGGGTGTGTATAAAAATGGGAATTGGCTGAACACGTGGCTCGCACAGGACACCAGATAGATTAGTCTGATGCCAAACGCTCAACTGGACATGGAAGAGGTACCAAACAGTAAGCGAAAGATTATGGATACGACACAAATCAACAAAACAGCCATTACCCTGAATGGAGAGAATGAGTGTAGGAAGTTAAGTGGAAACTACTTGTGGCTGTTGGATAGGTTTAGAGAGAGAGAGAGAGAGATAGAGAGGGAGGGGGAACGAGAATACCACCGGACAAGAGGAGGCTTGATTAGGCTGGAATCTGGTTATGACTCTCACATTACACTCATTTCAAGAACAATACACTCACACAAAACGTGTGAAATGAGACGCAATCACATGCGGTAACATTGCAGGATCAAAGGCGAAAGTGTTTTACGGGAAAAGGTTTCAATTGCACCCATTTCACGCTTCATCTGTAGCCACTTCACATGTCATCCACAGTCACTGAACTTAACTTATGAGCAAAGCACATGGCATCCAACCAAAACATGAGATGCATACATGAACCCAATTTGAATATGAGAAAGAAGTGGCTTTGAAGCCGGCCACTTTTCTTGCCTTCGTGTTTTTGGTGAATTATCTTGAAACATGGTGTCCTGCTCTGACGATGTCCGTAACATGACAAACGAAAGCCCAGTAAGGATCCATAGGGGCCGCAGGGCGATGCGCCGAGGACCTATTCGCACAAAGCTACAACCACAGCTCTAAGGCAACCCCCCACAACCTCCGATGGAATCAACTTATGAATCCCTTCCACTCGCCTCTTCAAACGTAATGAAAGATACTCTAACATGTTGGACGAGTGCGAGTTAAGTCAGAAGCATCAGTGAGCGGATAAGTTAAGTAAGGACTTATCCCAAATGAGGGAGGTCTTGTGGGCTGCGTCAACCTGAAGGTCGTATTTAAGCCAAACGACTGCAGTACAACGAGATTCAGCTGTCCTCTTCTGGGGAGATCGACCTTCGAATCTCTTCTTCGTGCACTTTTATACGAAACCAAAGTCTCCCCAAAACATTCTTATCGCAAGAAAGTGGGAAAAATGTCCTCGATCTACGTTGATAATGGCCTACTAAGTTCCCCTCACTTTTACTATAGCAGATCAATATGGAACATAGTCTCATTAAGCTTGTTGTCTGGTTGTAACTGAAATAGATTTTTTAACTAAATTTGTCCGTAAAACCTATTACATTATTTTCAAAGGGGCATATCATACGGTTTAATTTGAGTGGGTTTGCCGTATCATATTTCTCACTTATCTTGAATCTGTTCGAGAAAGCGGGCAAAGGCCAATCTAGTCGAGACGCGAAAGGGTATTAGTTCGGAGCTGATATGAGGATTTTCAATTATATCATCTATGGTATAAAAGGGGCATTCAGTCTCCGCTTCAGTAACCCAATTGCCTTGAGATTGTCATGCGACAACTATCGGGGATAGGAAAATCATTATGCAAAGCATTTTACCGAGAAACTGGATTCAAAATACTCCATTTGTCTATAATCTGGTGCCACAATGATTGAAAGCAGAGAAGCGATAGAGGATTCCGGACAAAGTGTGCTAGCTTAGGTGCCTCTGAAAAAACGATAAAGTCAATCCACTTTTATTTTTAAGTGGGTCTTTGAGACCTACTGGTAGTCTTGAAAACCTGCTTAAAAACGAAAAAATAAATAATGTATTCAATTTATAGGGCAAAATAAGTTTGCTTCATCGACAATCCTATCACAGAATGTGATATGAGAAAATGCCTGGCTCTTTTTGAGATTCACATTTGCCACTGACTCAAGGTCATTCGTGGCAATGTGATGTACCGGTTAACGCTGCACTTTCATGGTCTGAGTTCCGCTGGGAGTGCTGATAAGACCTAGGCGAGTTCGAGACTGGACTTCATTTTTGAAGGGGAATACCTCTTAGAAAGCAGCAATATGTGAAATTCACTGGAAATATAAGGTCTACTCATATCATTATGGGAAAATTCAACAACTAGTTCCTCATCACATTAAACGAAATAATATTAGAACAGCTAATATAAACCATTTTTGGGCAACGAAAGGAGATCGGTGCCATATTGGTCTTTATACCTTCCATTTAGCATAATTTATATTTTTTATTCCTATTCTTTGCGTATTTGAAATTATCTACTCTCTGTCAGTATGGCCATGAAAGCACTTTTTCACAAAAAAACCGTTTATGAGGCGTGTAAAAAGTAAAATATATGTAGCTATGGTTTTGCTGGTATTTGAAGCAGACTTCATATGCCAACCATAAAAGCTATAGGGGCAAGAGAAGAGTAGTGCGACTGTGCTTCACACAGCAAGGCATAAAAAAATTCGCATCAGCGTATCGAACCGATTGATTCGCTCCTGTATCGTCTCGTGTGAACTGTAATGCTGAGTCGAGTATGCCCTCTGGGCTCGAAATTTTTTCTCAGCCGTACGAATGGTATAGAAGTATAGGACAAAAAAGGTTGGTGTGCCAGTCGCATCTACCTACTATTTTATAGAATATATGAAAGATGCTTCTAAATTACTTTAACCCCTCTGTCCAAAGCCTGAAGGTTAAACCTTTCTCTGAAGTATAAAGAAGAAAGCCACAACTGAGGTATTTCATAATAATAATAATAATAATTGATAATTGGAATGCTAATTAGAGACTCTATGAGTTGGCAACTAACCTATTTTTTTGAAATTTCCGGCAAACCGAGTGCCGCGAGTCATGATTGCAGATACGAAGAGTAACTAGATTTTGATGAACCTCCTACGATTGACCCAAAACGAGGAAGGATATCTCGTGGACTGCGTCAAAATGAATGTCGCAGGAAAGCCAAATGGCTGTAGTTAAGCGAGAATCAGACGTCGTCTTCTGTTGGGATAGACATACGAATCTCTTCATTAAGCACTCTCGTACGAAATGAAAGTCTCCATAATGACACTACAAAGGCGCCAATTGTAAAATCAAATTACCAGTTGCGGATGCTACTGGAACTATTTAATTAGCCAAACTCAAATGCTTCGACGGGAGCATTGAAAATAATGACCAGTGTTGCTAAGTGCAAAGGAGCATGCAGGATTCATTCTAGCGAATAATCCTTGGGAGTGACAACTTTGAAGGCCAAATTGATGGCACCTCCTGACGATGGACGAAGGACAGTGGCAAAAAATCCCACTAAATCTTGGCTAACAATATTTATTCCCAGCCAGGCGAGGAAAAGACTGCATTCAATCCTCGATGAGAATATCTTTTGGAAAGCAAGGATAAGCGAAATTAAATAACATAATTCTATATCTGTTCTCCATCAGCCTAAGCGACTTAGGGGGACTATAACTTTTATTTAAGATATGATGATAGTCTTGAAGCTTACGTATTATGAATATTGAATGGGCCATCGTCGCCTAGATGCTAACGCCTTCGTAAACGGTGTCAAACTTGAACGCCTATTGTTGAGCTTACTTCCATTTCGAGTGGAAGTGTTGGTTGAAGAGATTCTAAGGTCGGTTCCACCAGAAGATGACGGCCGATTCCTCTTGACCAGCTGTCGATTGGCTTTACTGGAACATTCATGCTGACGCTGTTTGCGAGGCAATCCCTTTCGATTCCGGTGCGAAGTTGCTAAGCTTTCGTTCGTCATATGACTAACATCGTCACAACAAAATTCAGGCTAACGAGTCCATCATATGAAGGACGAAAGCTTAGCACCTTTTCACCGGAATCGAAGTAGATTGCCTCGGAAACAGCGTCAGAATGAATCTTCCAGTAAAGCCAATCGACAGCTGATCCAGAGGAATCGGCCGTCGTCTTCTGGTGGAACCGAACTTTGAATCTCTTCACCCAACACTTCTACTCGAAATGGAAGTGAGCTTAACAATTATGAAACAATAGATTCCTCGAAACCCAACTTTTCTTAGTATATATTTGAACGCCTATGACAAAACGGCTTCTGAATAGTCTTTGAGCCATTCGAGATCCACTGAGCCATGCATCAGACAAAAAATGGTCTGCTACGCAAGTGTTTATATTCCTCCATAGCAATAAGCATACCTGTTCTAGTTCTGAAGGTTCGACTTTTTTTCGGGATCCCTGACCCGAACTAAGGACAATATCAATTTGGCTCTTTCGATCCTGCTGGATCAGCCCTGCTAGTGGAGAGGTCGACTTCGGCTGCCGGACGGGCGCAATTGATGAGACCAGATGATTCCCAAGACGGCAAGTAGGCTTGACGGGGCTGGCGGATCGCTGATAGCCGTTGCTATCTGATGGAGTGATGAGCAAAAGCGGTTTGTGTATCGATGCAGCATAAGCCCCTTTCGTGTCGTTTACCGGTTGTCCATTTTCGTACCTCACGCTTTCTCCCTTTTTGTTGGCCTCCTCCTCTCTTTCTTTCTTCTCAGCCGAGTCCTCTTCCTCTCTGCTGCATCTTTCTTCCTCCTTTCCAGCGGCCATCGCGTCTGTCGACGCAGCCTCTCCGATAGCAGATCCAGCCTCAACAACCCCGGCATGATGCCGACCACCGGTACAGCCTGCCTGACTCGGCTCTAACAGCTGGTGGCATGGAGATTGACGTGAAGAACGACCCTCGAAGCCGGACGGTGAGGAGCGTGAGTCAACTGAAGAGTTGGTTGCCGACTTTAAGGGCGAAGAGGAGATTGGAGGAAAGTACGGCTTTAGAGACAATAAATGTAAGGTATGAAGACCAAGATGGTGTGGTCTTTTGTGCGGTCGCAGTCTCCTTTCGTTGTACAGAGGTTGTTTAACCTTGTTTTCGCAACATGGTCATATTGGTAGGAAGACTTAGAGGAACGCACCTAGTC